AAACCAGAGCTGAAACATCAGTAACAAAGAGAATCCTACGAACTACTGAAATGAAGACCTTAAGAATGATAACTGGATACACATTGAGGGACAGACAGAGAAATGTAGACATAAGAGAAAAGTGCCAAACAAACGACGTTGTCAGATGGATAAGGCAGAGAAGAAGAGAATGGAACCAGCTAGAATGGGCCACGACAGAATGGCCATAATAATTCGCAACAACGTACCCCATGGCAGAAGACCTACTGGACGACCACCTAAACGTTGGCAAGACAACCTCGCAAGAGTTGCTTAGGCGAGGAGAAAACCGGAACTAAACAGGCGATACGCCTTCTAAAAGAAGAAGAAGAAATTGTAGACCGCTAGTTAGTCACTGTTTTTTTTTTACTATATTGTAATTAATAATATTAGACATTGATTAAAACTAAATATTTTTGTGGAATTTTCGAGGAATAGCCAATTTAATTTACCATCGGTAACTGTTTCATATCAGTTTTTTCATGTTTACTTATTTTTCTGAAGCCAAAACAACGTTTGACCTTCATTGCTTCGTGCTATTTCACAAAATAGAATTGTTAATCTGGGTTAACAATAAAAAACAAACAACCAATCACGGCGGGTCTCGATCAATTTCAGGAAACATGGAAACTAATTTTTATAACACGTGCATATATTTATCGTACTATTTCCAGAAATGTTTTGCAAAATGTTTCTAAAAACGAAATATTTCTAAAAAATTTTTGTAAAACATTTCGGGGATAGTGTAGCGGCTGTTTATAACTAATATTTACCTGATATTCTTCGTAAGTAGCAATATAACTGGTGTAAGTATTGCTCAATCCCGCGATGACTACTTCGGTACCACTGTCTCCGCCACTGTCCACTATGACGTTTTTGACAGCGTCACGCATCCGTCTCCCCGACATGGTGGTGAATTCTCCCGGAACACCAACAAGGGCAAAATTTCCCAGCAACAGGATTTGGGTAGATACTATTTCCGGTTGCCAATTGTAAGGAACTTTTATCTAGAAATTAACATTGACTATTAATTTATTATAATGCACCCAAAATTGCAAGCTTTAACTAAGAGTATAATGATTTTTTCCATAGCAACTGTTAAAATTGCCTTATATCTATCAAAAATAGTAGATAAAATAGTACTTTAACCGCAAGGGTAGATTAAATGATACTTTAACAGCGAGGATAGGTTAAAAACTTTATTTCTTCTCGCACGTTTTTAAATTGCTTCCATTTTTGAAAGTTTTTGTATTCCGTTTCATAAGTTATTCGGGATTTAAATGGAAGTAGTTTGGATATGGCGTTTGTCGCCTCAGCCTGAATATCTATTGGTAATTTACTTATTTCGTTTTGAGCTATTTCTGGCTCCAATTCAATCAGCAATCGACACGAAAGAGAATTAAAAAATATTGACTCAAAACTGACAACTAAAGACAACTTTATGTATATTTGTCAAATTACATAGAAGCCAACGCCAACCCAGCACAATATTTTTTCTATTCGTAATAAGTTCCTTGAAATAATAATTTCTGAATATTTTTTAAAACGTAAGTCGCTATGGAAGAAAATATTGTTTTATACACGACGATAAAATTGCATTAACGTCTCCCGAAATTAATTCACTCGCGCGTGCATTAATCTTTTCGATCGACGATAAAATACCATTTTATCGTCTCGTATAAAAAATAACTATTTGATGTGTTTATTTTTAACTAATTGTACGAATAATTATGTCTTACCCTTCCAGATGCGATTAGGATGGGTTTGGGATAGTGACAGTTGATGTCTTCGGTGGTGGGTGGAAAAACGAAGTCTCTGACGATATTCCAGAAGGGATTGTCAGTACTGGAACCTTGTTTGAAGTCAAACTCGCCCGGTCCGTCGGTTGTACCAGCTGCAAAACTATAACCCATGGCTGGAAGACATCCTTTAACCTATAAATTTCCCATAAATGTAACCCCTAAAACTATAGACTTCAACAAATAAATAACTGATTTAGACAATGACTAAAGAATAGAAGGACATGTAATGCCCCTATACGGGCTGCAGCAGAATTTGTGACCTTTTTTTGTTTTGGTGGCAAACAATGAGTCATGATTTGGTCCCCAGCGACAATTTTAGCGATTTTTAATAGTTTGTGTGTAGTAAACTTTGTATAAACTTTATTACAATGGTGATTAGTTGTTCAGCTTTCAAGTGTAAAAGCAGCAGCGATAAGAAAGAGCCAGGAGTTACGTTTCATAGGTAAATAAACAGTCCACTCCAACTTTTTAGCGTTTTCTTATTGAATTCGATAATTATTCTTCAATTCCAATTAACATCTATATGTACTTGATATGTGCTATACGTCGATACTAGTTTTGTACCGTTTGTTAACATTTTAATACGTTTTTTTTCGTAATTAATTAGGATGATACACCATAGGCGTAGTCAAAACAATTATCAAAAAATATAAATATTGCTTCAAACAGCTAGGTTAGGAAAAATATGTGCCACGGCACTGTTTGGTGACATCGTCACAATTTGCTCTCGGGTGTTATTTGTCCTTGGATTCTTTAGTCATTGGATTTAGATATATTGGTACTTTTTCATGTAAAATATAAAAAAAATACTTTTAGTATCAGTAAGGATACTGTGGTACTTACGGTTTGAATTGTACCATTTTCTAATTGGATATCTACAGCTTGTTTTGGTACTTCGACCCATTGATGAATGAATTTGATTGGACCACTTAACTCCTGTGCTGTTTCGTTACTAAGAAGTTCCTACAAAAGATATAATTTGTTTGTAAAGCAGGCAAATGTTCTTCTTGAAAAAAGTATATCAATAAAAAAAAAGAACGTCGATGGCGTATAGGCGTATCTGCTGAGAACTAAAATGTTTGTAGCTTCTGAACAACGGTCTAGGTAAAGCATCTAGCTCGTTTGCCAGCTCAGAATTAGAATTTAGAGTTAGTAACTCGCATTTTCATAGGTGGACACTGTTATATTTATTTCAAACCAATAATCAACGAGAATATTCGTATAATTTAATAAAATTACTGTAAGTCACTATAAATAATAAATTGTTTGTAAATGAGCTGTGTAATTTCTGTATTATTAATCCGGTAAATGATGGAGATAAACAATTGTGATTGATTAAAATTTTCTTTTAATATGAAACTTTTGTTAACAACATTCTGAGAATTCTAATAATGAATCATAGACAAAGAAATAAAAAGTGTTTATTTTATTGTCTATGTAATGAATTGAATCATGACAAGACAAGTGACATCGGTATAAAATAGATAGAGATTTAGAGTAACAATTTGGTTATGTAAAATTTAGAGTGACAATTTTGATTATGCAAAAGAAATAGATATTTTATGAGTTTAATGGTTGCCCTAACGATTAACATTAATTTAAAAATAAATCCCCAACATGAATAATGAATAAAACTAGGGAATGCAATCCCGCAAATGCGGGATCCCTCTGGGATTCCGCGGGATCAAAGTTGCGGGATTTACCGTGCGGGATCTGCGGGATCGACACATTACTACTGGGTAACCGAATCGATCTCAATCAAGATCAATCCGCTTCGTTCCGGGCCGATGCGTCGATGCTCGGAACCCTGGGTATTCCCCTTACGGCTTAGCCATTAAAAATAAGTGAAACAAACAGGTTAGTTGTTAGATTTCTTTCTCTTTCTGGCGTATGTGCGTAAGTGGAGAAAAGCGGTTAACTAGTATATAATTATCGGGACAAATCTCTTGAACTAAAAAAGATTTTGGGATACGGTTTGGACCAGGTTTTAGATGCATCTATTGTGATTAAAATACTATATGGTTTTCGAAAATATATTTAATGAATTCTCGTATACAGGGTGTTTTATAAGAGTGTGAAAATTTGGTTAAGAATCTTTTTTACCGCAAATTTACAATTTTTAAAAAATCGAAATTTTTTCGAAGTACGACTAATCTGTATTGAAATTACAAAAAACAATTTGATCGGTTTTTTAATTTTTTTTGTTTTAAGGAAAATAGGATATTTTTTCGAAAAATATGCATTTTTAGTCATACCTATTGTCCTAAGTGGTACAAAAAGCTATGTACATTCTGCATATGCCAAAAAATTGTTGTAATAGAGTGTATCTAAAAGCAGATAACTAACACAGGTTAAAAAATCACTGCTGACGAGTTGTACTCCGTTGGATTAAGCAGCAGTGTCTACAAAAGTTAACTATTTTATTTTGTCGATTTTTTTACACTGCAAGTGGCGAAATACCCAATGGACTTTTTTCGAAAAGAAGGTTTATGTATGTAAATCAATCATCAAACGCTATAATTTATATATTGACCCACTAAATATCTCTCAACTTGTATTATACTTTTTTTAAATTGTATTATTTCCAGTAAAGCGACTTTTCGACCACCCTGTATATTAACTTTATCTGCCCTTTCAAGGGTGTAACTGCCTCGGGCAGCATCTGTTTTATTTGTACCTATAGTAGGTATCACCCAAAACTTGGTACACAAAAATAAACCCCTTTTAGACTTGCACATCCCTTATCCAGCCTTTACCTTACCTTGGATTTGCTGAAGAGCCTCGTGGCGATGATCTCCGCGCTCTCGAACATATCCTTGCCCGGTCCCGAGGCAATGCAGTACTTGTTCTCGCCACCGCACGTGCTCGTCACGTAGTCGCAGGCCTCACCCGTGTTGACGCAGACGGGGCCGTTCAGGTTGGGACTGACGTCGCCTAGGTTGCTGGACGCGAAGGCACCCACGAAGCTCCCCTAGAAAACAGAGCCGAAGTCGAAGATTAGATGAATGATATGTTGGATCGATTTTGTTGATCGGATGTGTTAATTTGGGTAGAATTGTAGGCGATGTTGCATTATATTTTATTTCCTAAGCATAAATAGATAAGAGTCATAACTCCCTTGGAACATTATTAACGGTAATTAAGATGCCATAATTCCTTCTACATTTTATAGGTGCAGAGATTTTGAGTAATAATATAAAATGAAAATGGACACTCATCTAACTACTCTAATAATTTTTTATTATGATTAATGTCACATACTGGGTGGTACATCGTCGTTGGAAACAAAAGAAATCCCATGCAAATTTTGATCTGTCCAGATGGCTCCCCTATTGATTTTATAGCAAAGTCGTAAATAGATTCTTTCAAGCTCTACGTTTTATTGATTTTATGGAAAGCACTGTTCATTAAAATAGTGTATCCTACGTTATAGGGCTTGTGTCTCTCTACAATTTCCTATCTCACAATGTATCGTTTGTGTCCGGGAAGGGTTCATAGTTTCATAGTTATCGATTTTCGAGAGAAATCAGTACATGTATGTTATTTCGTATATTTTTCATTTTATTGATTTTATGGAAAGCACTGTTCATTAAAATGTTGTATCCTTTGTTATAGGGC